TCAGGTCTTGAAGGTGATCATCTTTGGCGTGACTCTGCACGACTAGGTCATCCACGTAGCATTCGACTATCTTCCATAGATGATCTCAAAAGATGGTGCTCATGGCACGTTGTTAGGTTGCGCCGGCGTTCTTAAGTCCGAAGGATATAACTGTGTAATAGTACACCCCCACCGAAGTTTTGAATAAAGTGTGCTTCTCATCTTCGGGGTGCATCTTGATCTGATTATAACCTGACAATCCGTCCATGAAGGACATCCTTTCAAACTCATACGTATTGTCGATGATGATATCGGTGATGGGCAAGGGAAACTCGTCCTTTGGACAGGCAGTATTGAGGTCTCTGAAGTCGATGTAGATACGAATCTTTTCGTTCTTCTTCAGGACCGAAACAATGTTAGCCACCCAATTAGGGTGTTGTTCTTCTTTGATGAAACCTGATTCGATCACTTTCTTCACTTCGGCTTCGATCACCTCCATAATTTATGGACGAAACCGCCTCTGCTGTTGCTTAACGGGTTTGGTGTCCGGGTTAATGTTGAAGCGATGCATGGCGATCTGAGAATCAAGGTCGAGCATGTCCTCACAATTCCATGTGAAGACGCCAATATACTCTCGGATAAGGGATATAAGGTCTTTCTTCTCCTGGGGAGGTAAATTGTCGCTGATGAATATGAGGTTGGAATTAGCCTCATCTCCTATATTTATCTGGAGGATTTTATCTTATGTGGGTGGTTCACGTTGTTTGAAGTGACCACTCCACTAGGCACTGACATGCCGGTCCCAAACTTCATCGTAAAGTGGGATCTGGCCATCCTCTTTGATTTCGGTAGGATCAACTATAGTCATGTTGATCGTGAAGCCTTTAAAAAGGGCCCCGATGCTGACATCTGAATCCTAAGTCGAGGACGTTGACGATTGATCGTCCGAACAAGCATCGTCGAACATTTCGTCAAAATTGCAATACAACCCCGAGGAAGAGGAGGAGCAACCTATCCCTCTTCGAGTTTTGCCATAGTAATTGTCAGGCTTCCCTTTAGGTACGTAGGTAGGTCGGAGGGGCATCTTCCGACCCTTGCTGTACTTCAAACCTTCTTTGCGGACGAAGACATAACCCATGTTTTCCATCTTGCGCTTCACGACTCGGCCATAGCATGAGAATTGAGGAGGGGGCTCATCTTCGTCTGACTCATCCCACAATGTGTGTAAGGGTTGGTCTATCTTTCTAAAGATAATCTCTTGCTGAGAATTATTTCGGTCAGGTATGACAAAGACAGCTTGAGAGGACTCGATCATTTTTTTATTAGTGACAAATGATGAGTACACAGGCAAGAGTAAGGAAGGGTTATTGTTAACCCTGAGATCAAATTGCTAAACTCATCATTACTAGACTCTGGACTAGACGACAAGTAAGCAAAGTCAGGATATTCATTCAGGATAAACATGTCCGCTTCGTCAGTACTGCTTACAACAAAGCCTCCGAAGCTAATTACAATGGGTTCAATGTCATTCAAGACAAGACCATCGTTGCTCTCTGACTCACTATCGGCCTCATTGCTGCTACCAGGTTCTTCAGCCAGTGGCTTGCGATCTAGTTCAGAGTCTTGGTAGAGTAGAGAATCGATGAAATAATTCTCAACCCATTTGAAGGGTTGTTGGGTTGTTTATCAGCAACCACCGTCTTCACTTGATTGTCGTTGTCTACGTACTTTAAACATTGATGTAGCATGGACGTGACTATCCGATTGTTGTGGATCTATGGACAACCCAATAACATGTTGTAGGAGGTTCCTCCTCGATGACGTAGCAAGTCACCTCTGTCTTCATGTCGCCCAGTCGGCATTTGAGCCGGATCTTCCCCAACGGCCTGGTTCTGGTGGCGTTAAAGCCAAAGATGGTGGTCGTCGTTGTAGATAACCGCTTTTGAGGCACCCAGATGTTTGATCAGTGTTAAGGGAACGATGCTCAGCGCATATCTCAGATCGACTTGGATCCTGTCCACCTTAGAGGAGCCGACATATCCTATGAAGTACATGGATCGGTCATGAGATGTACTCTTGATGAGCATGTCATCAGGAGTGAAGGTGATGCAAGGAATCTGTTGCTTGGATGTTTGGCAGCATTGTTGGCACCCTTTTTCTACATCTTCCTCCAAAGTAGGTAAGAAGTGCATGGCAAAAGCCTCTGAGCCAGCTAATGCCTCTGGTAGAGCTTCCTAGGTGAAGTGGGATAATCGCGAAGCTTGTACAAGGTAATCATGGCTGGAATGTTTCTCAGCTATGCAAGTACATTGAACCGGAAGGGTTGAACGCTTGAACTCGGCTCGTCATGATTTGATCGGACTATTGGGATTGGTCTCGCCGGCTGTCTCGCTGGACCTTCCTCCATCGGAGGGTAGCTCTTGGAAAAGTTTTTCCCTGCTCTGGTGATCAAAGCATCTACCCTACTATCGGAGTCAGTGAGGGTTGTCACTTTTGCCTCGTTGTCATCTGGCATTAACGATATGACATTACAACCCTAGACTGCTACGACGACTTGGAAGTCCACTGGTCGTCGGCGAGAACATTGGGGGTGAACCCACATCACCTGTCCTAATGGCAAGGTCTGTGGTACTAAGCTCTTTCTCCGTTGGTTGTGAGGATTGTCATTGACGATCTTCAGTTCTGCTTGGGGATAGTTATGACTCCCGCAAGTGTGTGGACTACAGGGAGATCTGTCCCGAATTTGAGAGTGACCATGTTCGTGGTTACTTTCTTCTACGCCTTATCCTTCTTTAAGATTCCTGCATCGTAAAGAGCTTGGAGTTTATCCTTAAGGATATAGCGCTTGGAGGTGTGATGATCAACGAATCTGTGGTACGCACAGATATTTGGGTCATCTATCTTGGTCACGTCTTCATGCTTTACGACCTCTGGCAGCTTGATCCTATTGCTCTTGAGGAGAGTATCGAAGGTAGCCACAATTTGGTCTTTCTTAAAGTCGTATTGCCTTAGAGGATGTTGTTTAACAGCCCTTGGCTTTTTCTAGACTCACTCGGTTCTGAAGCTCCCCTTTTAGGTTGTGGCTCTTCAGCTTCCAATCTTTTGATCATGTTTTCCACCTGCTCTCCCTGGCAAACAAGCTCCTTCCAGGTCTGGGTTTCTACCACACCGACCTTGGACAGAATGTTGATTGAGAAGTTGTTGCGACACATCTCAATCAGGGTGCTTTGAGAGACTTGGTCCCGACACTAGAGTGACTGATTCCTGAATCTCTTGACGAAGTCGTTAACCGACTCCATTTTCTTCTGCTTGTTTGTAAGAAGAGTGGCCATTGATACCTCTGTATCGTCATCGAGGAAACGGGACAAGAAAAGCTTCTCGACATCGGCCCAGGATTTGATAGAGTTTGGCGCTAGCTTGCGAAACCACTCAAAGGCCACCCCTCTCAGGGTGCTGGTGAATAGTAGGGTGAGGATAGGATCATTTCCCATGAGGAATCTTGTTTAAGACAGGAAGTAGTAAATATGCTATGAGGGAGATCCCTTACCATCAAATTAGACCAAGCTCATTGGTTTAAACTTCGTTGGGTAAGGGACCGTATCCCATTCGACTGGATATGATCTAACCACCCCTAGCTCATTCATATCCCTCTGAAGCTTTAGGGCGTTGAGCTGACTCTAGAATTCGTTGAACCTCTTGTCCCGAGGAGTGCTACCAGCATGTGACATTCTTCCCGAGGAAGCATCTGAAAATGACCCGGGACCATTTTCCCTTTCGGCTGAGCAAGGTGGAGTAGGCTCCCTATCTCTGTTTCTCGAGGATCGTCGCAAGTTCCGCAAAGTCTTCTTCTTCTTCTTCTTCTTGTCGAGAAGTTGTTCCATTATCTTTCTCAGAGAGTTGATGGTTGCTTGCTGCTCCTCAATCCTTTTAGCAAGATCATCATAGGCTTCCGCCATGTGCGCCTTCGCGTGCCTGCCCCGGATTGAACTCGAGGTTCGGGACGTCACCATCGCCGAGTAAACCTCGTCATCATTGTCGTAGATGGGCGATAAGCGAGCGTAATCAAATGGGATGGTCACCCTTGTTTGGGTGCGGGTGTGTTGGTAGAGACCTTCACGTTCAATGGGGAGGAGGAAGAGGATGATGAGGAGGGAGAAGAGGAGGTTGAAGAGGATGAGGAGGAGGGAGATGGGGAGGAGGAGGAGGGGGTTAGGAGTATGATGGGGTTTTAATGAGAGAGTTTTATATAAGAAATCCCGTCAGCACTGATCAGAACAGTAACTCTATCCAAACTTAAGGTTTATATGACGCCGGAGTCGACAAAATATACCGATCTGACAAAATTAAAAGAAAAATATACCAGCGCGTCACCAAACCCCTATAAAATATACCAATCAGCCCATTTTGCCGTATTTTATCTCCTAATTGCATGTCAATTTCAGGCGAAGCTAGTCCCCTTCGTCGCAGCGCAGCCCCTGGAAGTAAATAAGATCCCCGCCCGCCGATTCTTAGCAGTGATCTTCGTTTTCGATTCCCTCTTCCTTCTTCTGCTTATATTATTTTTACACTTCCCCAGTTCCGAAACCCTAACTCCAATTATAGAGAGCGAAGGATCTCTTAAACCTCCTGATTCGCAATTTCCCCTTCTCACAATTCGCCGATCAGATCCCTTTCCTCTCCCTAGGGTTTCGTCTCCTCCGCGTCGATGGACATCGAACCCGGGGATCGATACGGCAGCAAGCGAATCCACCAGCGCATGGGCCCCTCTAACCCCGGCGGCGGCGGCGGTGGAGGGGGCGGCGGAGATCGCTACAACAAGGTTTGCTTCTTTT